AATTACGGCATACTTGCACTATGCTATGGATGTCCTTTCACCAGACATCAGAATAGGTTACACTCTTGTATGTGCCCAGCTAGGGCAGCACAAGCACATCTGGAGACAACACTGCTCTCAAATTTGATCACATGGGGGACAAGGGATCAAGTGTGCAGAGATTCCCTTGAACAAAATCAGTAATGGTGTAAGCAGATTGACATTTAGAATATCACTAGCAGTAGTCATAGCATCTCCTGACAGATGAGCTTAAAATCAAGTGCTTTGCTCTCCATTTTATCTATATATAATTTTCCAAGAAAGTATTAAAGTTTTGGAGCATAGATAAAATTATGCCCTTTATGATCTCCCAAACAATATTTTATGAGCGATGCAACTCCAAATAGCCTAACTGCTCCAAAGAGTTTGGAGTCTCCATGTTCACTGGAACTCATTTCTTCCTAAGGCTTCACTTATACTGGTACTTCCTAAAGCTAAATAAATGAGATATTTTGTTTGTTTTTGGAAAAAAAAAAAAGATGAAACGTAACCCTTTCTTTGTCATACCTTTTAAAGGCAATCTAGGTACCTTCAATGTGCAGAAATCAGTTATGACATAGGTCTACACAGGCCCATGTATATGTCCTCCTTTTCTAGAGAATAATGGTGTGAAGATAGAAAAGTTGATTTTTTTTTTCTGTAAACAGTACACGTACTTGGATGGCAGTGAATATTTGGGAATAAATATATCAAGCCCTCTTGAAGGAAAATTAAGAATTGTATATAAAATGCAAGTGTTCAGCATGGAAACACTTTCTTTTCCTATCCCCATTTAAAAAAACAGTACAGTTAGACATTTGGATATAGAGTATATTTTACTGGTCTATGTCTAAACACATGATTTGAAAGGCTTTTATCCCCCATTGTATATTTTACAATGCTCAAAGGGTTAATACAAGGCATTACATCAGAGGGGTTTTCTAATGTTAGAACTAAGCACTTAAGAATTAATGCTTCTATTCCAGTTTTTTTTTTAAATCACCAAACTTGCAGAAATACTAGGGTTCTATTAATTGATTTGTTCTCACCATATACATGGAGGTTGTTCTGATCTAGTAACAAGCCCAGTTTTCAACAGCACTGCATGACAATTCTCTTCCCCCATGTTCTGGCATGATTCATACAGACCACAAAAGCTCTGATATCAATTTTTTGATGGTTATTTTTCAGAAGAACTTGGGGAGGGAGAGAGGCTATTAACAAAATAAATTTATTGTATATAACCACTGCCCCACGGTGTATACAAAGGTGACCTGCCAAGTTTTTTACTTTCTACTAACTTCCTCCACACAGGGAGGACCAACATCACAGTGACACACGTTTTTTTTCTTTTACGCTAATGTTTCAAGTACAGCATTATTTTAGACATTTCAAATATATCATCTGAATAATTTTCTTAAATTTGAAAATGCATTTAGCACTTTTACACAGTGCATTCATGTAAAAAGGTTCATGATTACGGTACTAAAACCGCATTCATTCCTGAATGACTTTTACAGCATTCTACAAGAATGTGTTCATTTTTACTTGTCTACTACAAATCAAAGGCAGTCAATGTTTCACACTATTAATTTTCAGTATGCAGTGATAAAACCATTTTTGAAATTTTACTTGTTTTTAAAGTACACCATCTAAAGAGAGGTGCATGAACCGTGCTATACAGTACAAGAAAAAGCACAAAAAAGGAAAGCAGATTTCTGAAAAGGCAGTAAGACTTATACAGTCGGTCCAAACATAGTTTGGATGAAAATCCTGAAAAGTGACCAGCAACTTGGTATCCAAAGCAAAAATTGAAAACTGGGCCCTGTGTTCCAAGGAGATGGTTCATACATTCCACCCTATTGTTCACTGGTTTCACAAATGCAAATGTTTTTGGGTGTGGTTATTAAAGTACATGTCAAGATCAAATTATACCCACAATATTCAATTCAGAAATTGAATATTTAATTCAGAATTAAGTTCTGAAACTTAAGCATTCTTCCTCACTGAAAGTGTAGCATATAGCTTATGTAGATGTATGTCCTATCTAGTATTTGATTACTATGCCAATAGTAATGCCAATTAAGAAATACCAGTAAGTCCTTAAAATGTGTACTTGTGTCACTTAATAAACACTACTATGAGGATATTAGTAGCTATTATTTTTCAGAAGTCAGTTTCAATGGATGAAAAATGGAAATAAAAATATTCAGTAAGTACATATGCAATTGCTGTAATTTTGTTCCAGTATATAAATTACTTTTTTATTTTTTAATATAGTTCATAATTCAAATAAAAAATTGATGACAATGTTTGTATGTGAATATATCTCTCCGTGGACTACAAATAGCTAGAAGTAGCATAAACTGTAGGTATTCTATTGTGTCACTAGCCACAAAGAATTAATATTCCTAAGTATTCCTAAAGGAGTCAATTTCAAACATAACATTTATTAGTTTCTACTCTGTCCTGATTTAGAACAAACCATGAACAATTGGAAGAAATGTTGAATCCTGGAGGGCCTCCAATCCCTACCTCTCATGAATCTAAATTCGTCCATCATCATTACATTCCTCTAATGACGCAAATACATCCAACATCAAATTAAACAATGATAATGAATACATTTAAAGTCAATCAATAAACGAGATAAAACCCCTAAATACGTTTGGTCCAATACAGACATTATCATGAGGATGGCAGGCAGAGACAGGAAACTGAAAAAACTCAGAAAGGAGAGCCACAATGAAGAGTGTTTTTTTTCCTTTTTTGATTTTAATTTCATATATAAACATTTCCTAATGCATAATGAAGTAGATACATGGTCTTTTGAGATTTTTTAATGATTTTTTGCACTCTTTGTTTATGTTTGTGTGTATGTATCTATGATGCAAATTCACTGCCCTTTTGGCAGGGGAAAAAAGGGGATCCTTTTTTAAAATATCATCTAAATGATATTTAGGTGGAATGCTAGTGTGCTAGCGAAGATTATCAAATATATGAATAAGTTGTACAATACAAAAATTTGAATCAATTTTAAAAATTATATTTAAAATATTTAAATTTTGTTTAAGAAAGGTTGTTGATCTTGAGAAGACTGAGGCAATTAGGCAACAACAGTTTAAATACACTGTATGTTACCTGATGAACCATTTCATATTTTTAACTTTACAGATTGGCTCACCCTCTTCTTCCAAACCCCCACCCTTCATCCCAATAAAACTATAAAGATAAAAATCTTGAGTTTAACATAGGTCTCAATAGTAATCTCTACGTCATTTGTGCTTTCCTTCTTGTTTTGGCTTTATTTAGTTACTTATTGATATTTGCTGATTTTTTGTAACTCTTTAAATGAAAGGGTGTGCCTTTTTATTGTAAATAACTTGAGTGCTTCAAAGAACCTTCGCTTTGCTTTTCATACAGATTAAAATGAGGATGGGTGTAGGCTCTCTATGATCTCACCTTCTGATTTTGTAGCAGACTCCTGCCTCATAGGCATGCATGTGTGTATGTGAATACACAGACACCTAGACACACAGACAAACTTTTAGACTGAAAAGATGCACTTCAATAAGTACTTGCTTATCTTGTTTAATTTTCTAGACTTGTAACTAAATAAGAATGGTCTAAAACACATGATTTTATGTAACATGTTGGTATTAAAACTAGCCTGCTATTCTACACCCTTTAGCAATCTGATTTGTAATCAAGTCAACTCTTAAGAATAAAAAATAGGTTCACGGTCACTCGAAGAGGGAAACTGATTTCTGTCTTTTTGTTTTGCTTCATTTTCCCTAAATTTCCTTTGAAGAACATGTAACCTGTCCTTACTTCAGGAACCTGAAAATGACAGGCACACTTTGTCAAATGGATTGAAGAATTATTCACATGAATAAAATAAACCTTAGCTTCAGTTCTGTTTTAAGGCACCATGTATTAGCCGAGGTACAATGATCCCTGATGTACATTCTTCAATGGCAATGATCCATCCAGCCACCTATCCAAATCCTACAGAATTGGGGTAAGTAACAGTGAGGTGTGCCAGTTACACTGCCTTCAGGTTCTGTTTAAAATTTAAATCCACATACTTTAGAAATTAGGAAATAGTTTTGAAGGAAATAATGATATGCAGGTTGCTACATTCCTTGCATTCTATAAATTTTCTTTTATAATAGCAGCATATTGAACTACTATTAGAAAAAAGACCTGGAATAAAAGAAAGTCATCCAAATGGAATGGTTTCCTGTATGTCCAGCTCAGCATAAGTAGCATGTACACTTAAAAAAAAGTCAAGTCATTTTTTTCAGGTTCAGTATCTAACTATAACAGCTCCACTTAACAGCAGAATGCATCTGTGCAGTGGTCCCAAATACAGAATCAGTAGTCTTTAAACAGATGAACTGGTATGCAAATAATAGTTAAAATTCAATGCCTAACGGAAGCTTGCATTGTTAACATGGTTTAATAATTATGTACACAAATTATGTACATATTAGCATAATCTCTTGTAATTTTGTCATTTACTCTGAACTGATAAATGCACAGCTCAATTTTTCTTCAGAGAAAAATAGATGACCTTCCCAACCCTCTAGCACTATAATAAAAATGCTTTGTATTCTCTCTTCCTACTCTAAACGTTATCAAAATAGTGTCTTATGGTTCTGTCCAATGAAAAGCACCTTTCAAAAGCAAATGTGATGCATCTGCTGCCAAATGGGCATGCCTCCAGTGTAAATCAAAGAAATTCATTTCTTTTGATATTTCACAGAAGTGCATCTAATTTAAAAACTACACATGAAATCATACACCAAGACTAACAATCAACAATAAAATAGTTTAAGCTACAAAAATGTAAATTACTTTTTAATTATAAGAAAACAAAAACATTGTCATTAAGTGTTTTAAAAATCCTTCTTGACACCTGAAACTAAGGGGAAAAAAAACTCATTATTAAGAGGCAATAATTTGTTTATGTTTTTTAAAAAAGACCTGGCAAAATACATATCCATTCCATTTCACAACTCCAAAAAGGTAATGTTCAGCACAGATAAAATTTGACAACAGTCGACCTTCAGGCTTATTAAATTTTCAATGTAAGCCCAATATCAACAGGGTTAATGTAAGCTGGAAAAATATGCTTTAATATTCTTTAGACTGCAGTGTAGGTGTTTCCTGTAGCACTGCACTGTCTGATAGTCTGAGTACTTGTGACGATGTGCTCACTGTGGATTGGGTTCAGGAGGCTTGGTTGCACACCGCTCTCAAGGACAGGCTGCATACAGCCCACCGGGAATGCCTGGCTCAGCTCTGTTTTCTCTCTTTTGGCTTGAGGCTCCGAAGAGTCATCCAGTTCTTCATCCATTTCACTTTCTACTTCACTGCCTTCATCTGCACAAACAAACAATACCAAGACTACTACCAGAAAACAAGCTGAAAAACAGCAATCAACATGTGCTTTAGAAACACTTTAATATACATTATAAAAGCAATTTCTTGGCTTTTCTCAGGGGACAAAGCTTGTAGGTTTTCCTTTCATGGGATTTTATTCATACCAATTATATTGAAGTATCCTTAAGTCTTTCAAACATAGCAAAGGTAATTTATTTTTGGCACTTTGTGATCAATACTTTAAAAGTTCTTTTGAGAAGATCTTAGAATTTTATAAGCTTCTACATTAAGTAATGGTATAATCTCTATTAGGCTTTTGGAGAATGTAGTGAGCTGAAGATGCTAACTAAAAAAGACTTAAAGGTTTTCAGTTTCTTTCAAAAATTTTCACTAAATATAAATCTTGTCTGTGCTGGCATTAATAGGTGAAACCTATGTCAATTTACAATACAACTATTGTACATGTTAGCAGGGAATACTATGTAGGCTTTTTGGCACATATAAGTGTTGCAGGTCACAATATTAAATACTCTTAATTTTTATTATGGAAAGATGAAGAATGAAGCAGTAGTATAATATTAAAAGAATGCACAAAGAATTTCCATTCCTGGAAACACTAATGTTAATAGCTAGTATTCATTTCTGGGAATTAAACTTATTAAATACTAATGTTACTCTCAATTTTTATTTTATATGGACTAAAACATCATTATAATGGAATACCATTTAATTTTTCTTAGCATACACTTTTGAGATTCAAAGTACAGTACAGAGAAAAAAAATGCTCAAATATAGTTTTACTACTATGTAAGGTTCTCCTTAGAAGAGGAGAAATAGCTCTTCAGAGGAAAAGAAATTTTGTTTTTACTTTACTTTTTTTTTTTTTTTTTTGTGGCACTGGGGTTTGAACTCAGGGCCTAACACGTGCCAGGCAGGCACTCTTACTGATTCAGCCACTCCGCCAGCCCCAAGAATATCTCTTTATCAGTGATAATTTTTAAACAGTGGTGAATATATTCCTTACAAATCTTTTTTACTTCACCTTACCTGTGTTTTATTGTTTACAAAATGATTTACATATAATCACATCAAATATCTCACTTGTAACTAAAATATATCTTAACTTACTGTTATATCTTTTTACTTATTACAGGGCCTTATATAGCCAGTCCATTCTGTTCTGTTCTGAGGCATATCATGCACAGTGAGAACAAGCATTATGCTGAACCCCTTTAATGCAGTGCTGAATCCCATTTGGAGTACACAATGGCAGAAATCTCTACTAATGTAGATCTTCATATAAATGGGCTCCTTGACTTTTTTCCCTTATTATCAATCAGGATAAAGATGGTTTGAGAGAAAGTGCTGGGAGGTAAAAGGGCCTCCACATCTGGTTGAACAGTAAGTAGACCCCAAGTATGATTGCACAAGTTGAGATTAACATGTATTGGCTAAAAATAATGTCTGTAATGTATTATTAAGTGATAAACAAAGAAGTACTCTTAGATAAGGCAAACAGCATATTGGCCTATCTTTATTCAGTTTTTGTCTCTGGAAAACGAACTAGCTATTAGAGGTTATCATCTTAGGCATATTTGAAAGATTGGGTAGCTGCAGGGATAGGGATACCTTTGGAAAACAGTTGCTTCATCAAAAGGATATAACTGGGACATATTTGTATGACACATTTTACTTTCTTTTTTTCCTTTGTTTGTACATGAATAGCTAATATCTGGAAGGATCCTCAACAAATTCCTAATGGCTATGAAGTTTCACTCTCTAGAGTTTCTTTAATTTTTTTTTACTAAGATATTAATTGCACACCTTATGGGGTTCAATGTGATTATTTCCATACATGAATACAATATGCATTGATCAAATATAATTATGTGCATTTTTTGAACATTTTTAAACAGGGCCAATATACTTTTATTGTTGAGGGGAAAAATTCACAAATTGTAGAAAAAGCCCATAAAAACTTAGATTTCACATTTCCTTATTAGGTCCTGGGTATGCTAGCTTGCCTCTTATTTCAGGAAGCCTCAGATTTGGGGGTAAATGGGACCAGCCTCATCATGTCAAGAATGCTAGTGCAAACCACACACTTCTTAGCTCCTCGCCCAAACTGAGAAACCATTATCAAAATCATGAAAGAGGAAGCACTGAAAGGAAAAAACCCATCTGCAAGAAGTCAAGGGAATGGATAGAGGGGGAAAGTCCTTTTATCCACCTTGCTGTGGATGGGAACGGCCTTGAGACAACAGGTTGAACAAACTTAAGTGTTCCAGATCAGTCTTTAGGTGAAAGGGCTCCTTTGGACAGGCTATACAGCAATCTTGCAAAAGCAAACCCTTTCTCCGGTTCCTTAGGAAAAAGCAATGCAATTCTGTAGACATTTTAGGCATTTCCTGGGAACCCACTTCAGGTTATGGAAATGTGGTACACAAAAACTAAAATTAGGTGCTACTGGAGTTCACTGAAGGCTCTGTTTGGGTTAGCACTCTTCAGAGAAGAGTGGCTGCAACTCATCATTGGTTTATTTCTCTTAGGGTTATGTGCTTAATTCCACAGGGTGAAGCAATAATTTTTTTAGAGGGCATGATTTTCCTGATTTGGTACTATACATCTTACTAAAATGGGAAATTAAAGCAAGCACAATTGGTAAGCAGAAACTTGACAGACAAGACTATCTCATGAGAGGGGTGTTTATTCATATATGACTTTTCCCAGCATATTAATGTTTTCCACTCTCAAGACACAGAGCTGACAACTGAGTACCTTAGGACAGCACAATCTGGAGAACAGCACTGCATCTTTTTGCAGACTCTCTGAATCCTTCCTATTATCTCAGTTTCCCCACTGGCTCTGGCATGGAAGGTCTAATTGTGTTGTTTTCCCCAGTTGTTGCAAATTTTGTTCTTGTCTCCATAAGCCAATAATCAGTAACAATTCCTTAAAACCTAAGACACATCCCCCCTTTTAAAGAAAGAGCTATATTTATTACAGTGTTTCTTTATTAGAAAATGTACATGTTTTTAAAAACTGTATTGGTATTTTTATCATAACTTTTTGTTTGTGCTGTTTATAAAGTTGGGTACTATGCTCTATCCTAACCCTACTTCCCCTAAGCCCTCGTTATTCTTTTTAATTGTGTGTGTGTATATATATATATATATATATATATATATATATATATATATACAATTATATATATAATTTGGCTCTTCAGAGATATACACCATGTATACATCACAGTACACACTAGAGTGGCAATGCCGGTATTAAAATTTCAGAAGTGTATATGTGACCCTCTTTATCTGTACACTACTAATTTTGCTTTTGCAATAAATGTCATTGCTACCTCTTAATTCTTTTTCTGCTGAGATAGGTAGATGGAGGAATCTTTTTTTTCTAGTCTGGTGGGCCATGAATAAGAATGTCTGTCCCAATTTTATCATTTCTCTCTAGGATCCTGGCCATGGTCAGAAATAATTTGTTACTTACAATGAGCTTCAGTCAAAAAGTTAAAGAAAACTGGAACAGCATTTAAATTTAATTTTCTGCATTTAGTGACTCTCATATAAAGAAAGCATGGGGATGGAGTAAATGGTGAAATAACGACGGATTCCAAAAGATGGGACTATCACATTCACATAGGAGTTGTATGCTATTTTCAGAGTATCAGAGTTACCACAGACAGGTGCCACATTTTCTTTTCTCAAAATTTCTCAAAAAAGTCCTCAAAAATATATATTTTCAATTCTTACCTTTATCCAGATTGCTAGGAGACACTGCATTTAAATCACCAAACTGCAAAACAATAACATTTGTGTAATAGTTACTATTAGGAAGAATAAAATCATATTCTATTAGTTTGTGGTTAAAAAAAAACACTATGACTTTTAAAAAGTGTAAAATAGTGACCATTTTGACCTGTAACTACATGGGTCACATAATTTTTCAATCAAACTTGTCAAATTTGAAATTTAAATTATGTCACAATTTAGCTGTCTTTGCTTCTTTGCAAAAGGATAATTTTCTTTGCCTTCCATACTCCATTTTCCTTTCTATTATTCCAGTTCAGCAATGAAGAAATAGGTGCCTAGATGACCTGGATGAAGATGGATGTGCAGGATACATCAGCTCCACCCCCTAATGCATGGCCAATGAGTCCAGCCATAGTCTCTAATTACAGAAACACTGTCCAGCAGTTTGGCTGAACTATTTTTAAAGCTCTGATTTAGTGAGAATGAAAAAAACATAGTAGTAAGCCCCAAAGTTGAGATATTCTTTTGTACACATTTTCAAATAAGACTTTTTTCTTAATTAACTGATATTCCTGTTTACCAAGATAATAGCATCCCACTGTAGAAAAAGGAAAGGCACCTGGTCACTACTAATGCAAACAATATGGACTAATTAGTAATTGTCAGCTTAGATATTATTTTCTACTTTGGTTCAGCAGGTTGATGATAACTTAACAGCAAGAAAGTACATTTTGAGTCTCTCAGGGTCAACAAAGATGGATACACTAAATTAAAAACTGAATAGCAAAGGTAACAGAGCTAACCACCCTTCCACCACCCCCCAAAAGTGAAACTGCAAAGTCTCCATTTTTTAAAAAAATGGTCAACATTACTTTTTAAAAAGTAGTGGGTCTTTATTCGAAATTCAGATGTTCCAATAGGCTTAGAAATGATAAAAGACTTTGGATTTTTAAAGACAACTTTCTACTAGTCTGTGAAAGTTTTAAAACCATGTGGTCCAATTTCTAGGCTTCTTAAAACCATATATGCATCTGAGAAGTTATGAGGATCATACAGTTGAAAGTTGTTAATTCTAGATATAAGTCAAGCCAGAGCTGGATGTGGAAATCAAAATTGAGGGAACTAAAAGCTATGGGGTAGTAAGGCCAGAACAATTTTAAACTCCACAGCCAAATGAAGGCCTACTGATCAACTCTACCATTAAGGTCATGCAGTAGGAATAGGATATATCCTGGTCCTTTCGACAGTTTATGAGAACCAACTTGTATAACCAGTTGCATCACAAGCAGCCATAAAGACCTTAGAAAGCCCTCTTGTGTTAGCACCACTCAATGATTCTGTAAGGATCTATGTTGTATGGAGGTCGGCAGCCAGATGCCCAGGTGCTGGCATGCCAGTTGCAAGGGAACACAGGCCACACATACAGCAGAATCAAAAGTAAACTTACCACAGTACCCTAACAATTCCTGCTGACTTGAGGCCTTATCACCAACTGATGGGTCAAACAGTTGAAAGCTTTAACTAGAAAAGACTAGTACTTATTTGGAAGCCCATCAGCTACTGTAAGAGCAGTTGACACAGATTCAGAATAAAGGAATGCTTTGGGCTTGTACTGCAGACCAGTGCTGGGAACAGTAGTAGCTTTAAATATAGGTATGTACCACTCTTGGGGATATACCCAAAAGACTGTTACTCCAGAGGCACCTGCACATCCATGTTTATTGCGGCACTATTCACAATAGCCAAGTTATGGAAACAGCCAAGATGCCCCAGCACTGACGAATGGATTAAGAAAATGTGGTATCTATACACAATGGAATTTTATGCAGCCATGAAGAAGAACGAAATGTTATCATTCGCTGGTAAATGGATGGAATTGGAGAACATCATTCTGAGTGAGGTTAGCCTGGCTCAAAAGACCAAAAATCGTATGTTCTCCCTCATATGTGGACATTAGATCAAGGGCAAACACAACAAGGGGATTGGACTATGAGCACATGATAAAAGCGAGAGCACACAAGGGAGGGGTGAGGATAGGTAAGACACCTAAAAAACTAGCTAGCATTTGTTGCCCTTAATGCAGAGAAACTAAAGCAGATACCTTAAAGCAACTGAGGCCAATAGGAAAAGGGGACCAGGAACTAGAGAAAAGGTTAGATTAAAAAGAATTAACCTAGAAGGTAACACCCACGCACAGGAAATCAATGTGAGTCAATGCCCTGTATAGCTATCCTTATCTCAACCAGCAAAACCCCTTGTTCCTTCCTATTATTGCTTATACTCTCTCTACAACAAAATTAGAGATAAGGGCAAAATAGTTTCTGCTGGGTATTGAGGGGGGGAGCGGGAGGGGGTGGAGTGGGTGGTAAGGGAGGGGGTGGAGTGGGTGGTAAGGGAGGGGGTGGGGGCAGGGGGGAGAAATAAACCAAGCCTTGTATGCACATATGAATAATAAAAGAAAAATGAAAAAAAAAATAAATATAGGTATGTAGGAAGAAAATACGTATGTAATTTATCTATCTATACATTTTGCGAGTTTACGCCAATGAACTATTTGCTCTAGGAATGATCTTTAAGCTGTCATAGACAGTAAAAACAAGTGACTAAAATTCTCTGAAGTGGTTTCTATCTTCTGGTTGGACTATGGAGATTCTTTGGGACAGACTATCTTTTGACTTGCATAAAGCCTAAAGAGAATTCATTCCCCTCATTTTATAAGGAGTTATAAAACCTTTCATTCATTTTTATTAGTTAAGATTGAATTCAAGTCTAGCTTTGTTTAGTTAGAACTAATTATGTTTATGCTTCTTCCCTAATGTTGCCATTTTCTCATTTAATTGACTTATTTCCCTCTTCTATTTTGTTGGTTGTGTTTTTGAAAGCATTGAATTAGTTTGCCTCTGATTATCACTTTGGCTACATACCAAAGAATGCTGCTGGATTCTTTGTATTTCCATGAATCATTTGGTTCAACATGCAAAACTGCCTGCAGGCTATTTTTCCTGTTACAATACAGTATTATTAAAGTGTGCATATGCTTTATGTTATCTGTTCTATTTATTTTAACTTTTAAGTTCATCATTAAATGGCCCAAAATGTGATGGTTTAATTGTACACATTATTACTTAGACTGTCAGTGCAGAATCAATTTTTAAAAATCTAATCCAGAGTATAAGACAGTCAAATATAGTCCTTAGTAATGGTTGGAAATACAGAATTTAAATTCAAGTGTAGACTACAGCATGGGAAGGAAAACACAGGATATAGACCAGCTTGACCTGGTTTAGAAACACAACTCTACCACTATCTGTTATGTGTCTAGTAAGTTAAACTCCTTGAGCTTTAGATTTCCTTATGAATGTATCAGACAGGGTTAATGAGGATTAAATGGGCTCATATTTGCAAAAGGACCTACAATAGTGCTTCTACCAAGCCATATTGTTTTCAGAACTCACATTTTTAAATACTGTTTTAAAAACCCTAAAATTCCTTTCAGTAGTCATGAGACAATGATTTCAAAGTGAAATGCCTCTAGCTGTGTGGGGCTTTGAGAATAGCCTGTGAATGAAACTGTACCTCAGATTTTGACATAAGGTTGATGACACTATAAATTCAATGACAGGCTGGCTTTGGAAGTCATTTTATGTATTCATAAAGTCATTTATGATGCAAGCAAATACCATGAGATGAGCTGACCTGAACATGGATAGGGTGTGTGTGTGTTGTGTGTTTGCTGGTGTGGTAGAAATAGATGATGAGCTCAGATGAAAATTATAAACCATCACCAAACCAACTGCTTCTCTCTCTGCTCATCTAAGAAATTAATTAAAAAATGAGACTCTTTAAAGCCATCCCTACAGAAACAGAAAGATTGTTCACATGCAGATTTGGATCATCCTACTCAGTTCTTTTTTTGGCAGCACTGCCCATTGAACTCAGGATCCTGTGCTTACTAGGCAAGCGCTTTTACGTCGGAGCCACTCTATCAGCTCTTTTTGCATTAGTTATTTTTGGCATAGAGTCTCTTATGCCTGGACTTACCTAGACTGAATGCTCTATTTTTGCTTCACCTTGATGCTGGGATGATAGGTGATAGGTATGCACCACCATGCCTAGCACTGGTTGAGATGAAGTCTTATGAACTTTTTGTTTGCCTGGGCTGGCCTTTGAACCACAATCCTCTGGATCTCCACCTCCCAAGTGGCTAAGGCTAGAGCCACCTTACTCAGCCTCAATTCTAATTTTTTCAACTTTCTATACTCAGCTTGAACTTTGGAACATTCTGACATTTACAAATTATAAATAATAAGCCCTCCTTATTTGTATGTTTGGGCCTAGGATGGTTAAAAAAATAAATACAAAAAAAGTCAAAAGAAATTTCATAAACAAAAAATTTAAATTCCCACATACATTATGCAGCTCAATTGATGTGGAGAAGCTCTCAGTCAGTCCCGTGTTATCATCAGCTGTGTTTAGATCACTGGTTGATCTGCTAAGTGTTTCTCTGCCCTTAATTTTGTGAAAATTTGCCTCCCAACAAAGCACATGGTGCTCCAACCAAGGTAAAAGTTATGGTAATCCTCCCAGGCCAAAAATCACTTGTAATATACTTAATTTAAGTGATAAAGTGAAAATTTTGGATTTGTTGAAAAATGGAATGCCTTTAGCAGAACTTTGGTGGCATTATGGGAAAGATGACTCAAGCATACTTAACACTGGGGATAAAGGTCATGAAATAAGATCTAGTTTTTGGTGAGCAGTATTAATGTGTACAACAGTCATTTTTGTAGCAATATTTTAGCTTACTCCATGTGGTTTCAACTTATGGATGCTCAGATCTAGGTCGGGATAGAAAAATTTGAGTAATTTTACAGTATTGAACTCCATGTATTCTGAGCATTCATGGCTTTTTCTCAATGGCAGTCTCCTATACCCAAGAACACCAAGGGTCTACTCTATAGCTCAGCAGTTCTCTATGATTTTTTTTTATTAATTGAGGTTAAGATTAGGTAGTGCCAAACGGATGTTTTGGATAATAGAAAT